TAGTCCTACTAGTCCCTTAAAAGTCCGGGTTTGGACCTGGTCCAAACTAGTTCCCCGTAGACCACTTAACATCCCTAACCAGGAACGCCGTCTATCTTTATGCTAATTTGGCTAGTTTTATTTTTTTGTTACCAATTGAATTGGGTATTATTAATCTCTTTCCGAAACTTAACCTCGTACATACTTGTTTAATCAGTAAACTCCAGTAATACAAGTTCTTCGTGAAACATCAGAAATCCGTACATATTCATTTAATAATCAGGCGATTCAATAGATTTATTAATAATGAATAAGGGTCACATCTCTAAATCAGGCTAAATAAACTTGTTTTATGAGAAAAAACGCCGTGCAAACCTATTTACATATTTTAATCATCCGTGCAAAGCCCTGTACTGTACATATTTGTTTAATTAGTAAACATTAGGAACCTACGCATCTTTGTTATTGCATTATATATGACAGGAGCCAATTATATTAATAGAAATAAAACTGACAAATTTTGAGTCACCCGGTCAATTAAATAGACCGGGTGACTCAATTTTGTCAAGTCGTCAGTTTATTTCTATTAATCTACAAATACCTAAAAATTTAATCTAGTTTTTATTAAGCTTTGATGTGTAGCAATTAGCATCACGTTATTCACTGAATCGAAATAAATTTCGATTTAAATAACAGTTCTAATTATTTAATCATATTGGCTAGCGGGAAAATCAAAAAAATAGATTATGTAATAAATATTATAAAATTTTGTACCCACAATGAGAAGAATCAAAAATCGAGTACTTTATTCTGAAGACTTAAAGGTAGTGATGTTGACCCGTTTTTCTGAATCGAAATTCACTGCACTGGTTTTTATTAATAAATTTCAATTAAGTGTTTAACGGGTCACATCTCTAGTAAGAGTCAATCAATCGGTTTAAACGTATAAAATTTAATCTTGAATTTCATATTATATTTATTCATAAACATATAAACCTTGTAAAATAAAATGCTTACACAATAATAAAAAATGCTCAATAAAATTTTTTTCAATAAAATATTAAAATGTTAATAAAAAAATTGATACATATGCATAAAAAATTTTTAAATAATTCGAAATACAATAATTTCAAAAACTTGGTACTAGAATAAACATTTACCGTATATGATAATAAAATCTAGGTAGATAGGCATATTAAAAAATTGCATAATTCCTAGATTTGAGATAATATGCAAAATTAATAAATTGAAATTGAACTCATAACAAATAATTAAGTATACTAACTTGCATAAAAAAATCCATGTAGATGGACATATCAAAAAATTGCGCAATTCCTAGATTTGAGATAATAAGCAAGATTAATAAAATGAAAATTGAACTCATTAAATATTTAAGTATACTAACTTATAAGTAAAGAAACTTAAGATTTTAATTAATTAGGTTGATTCTTTAATTTTTCCAATACTAAATTTACAAGATTTTTAAATTCTACCAGTTCTACTTCTTTCAGATAATTTAAGGTAAGCTTTAAAGGCTTAATATTGTTAAGAAAAGTTTCTAGATCGATCTGTTCATTTTCTATTGTTTTTCTTACATAATCTACCAAGTCAAAAACCCTTCTAAAACGAGCTGTTTCAGCCCTCTCTACTCCTTCCATTGACATAGATTTCTTGATCAAAATTCTAAGTTCTTTATTTTTAGCATCATCATATTCGAAATTTTGACTTTCAATATGCTTAGAAAGTGAATGAAATTGTTTAAAAATCGAGTAAACAGTTGCCCATTCCAAATTAGCTTGTTGTTGTTTTTTGTTTTGCTGTAATATCTTATTGTATTGCATCCATTCTTTAGGATCATATGAACTCGAACTCGATGTTAATACAAGTGGTGTGACAGTCGGAGTAATTGATTCATTTGGATTTTGTAAACGCTCTGTATAAATGAGTGACCTGTTATGTTGCCTAACTCTTTTGTTTTTGATGTTAGTTGTGGTAGACATTTTGTAAAGCTGAAAAATAATATTTCGTAAATTAAGCAAAACTTGTAGAAATAAATGAACGAATTTAAAAGTTTATTAAAAAAATTTTTATAGGTTTTATAAATGTAGTGTAACAAAGAACCTTCACTCGGCACGTGATTCATGTTGTTATCACGTTAATTTACCCCTAAAATACAAAAGTTACGTTTTTGGGGGTCGTCTAAAGCCATGTACCCACGTGATCAATTATGTAGATCAATAATCACAATGTGATTATTGAAAATTCAAATCATTTTATAATTTTTGGCGACAATATCTCAGCAATCACCCAACAAAATTCGATGCATTTTTTTTTATTTTAATTCTACAGATATATAGAATTAAAATAAAAAAAAACTCGTCGAATTTTGTTGGGTAGTTGCAGAGATATCTTCGCTCAAAATTTTTTAAAAAATTCAACGTCTATCAAAATTATAGCTGCGGCAAAATTTTTCAAAACTTTGAGCGAATATATCTTGATACCCACCCAACAATATTTGATGAACTTTTTTATATTTTAATTCTACATATCTGTAGAATCAAAATAAAAAAAAATCATTAGATTTTGTTGGGTGGTTGCCAAGATATCTTCGCTCAAAGTTTTGAAAAATTTTGCCGCAGCTACAATTTTGATAGACGTTTGAATTTTTTAAAAATTTTGAGCGAAAGTATCTCTGCAACCACCCAACAAAATTCGATGGATTTTTTTTTATTTTAATTCTATATATCTGTTGAATTAAAATAAAAAAAGATGCATCGAATTTTGTTAGGTGATTGCTGAGATATCTTCGCTCAAAATCTTTTAATTATTCAAACGCCTATCAAAATTATAGCTGCGGCAAAATTTTTCAAAACTTTGAGCGAAGATATCCTGATAACCACCCAACAATATTT